AAGGAGTACCCCAGCCGGTGGTGGCACGGTGACCGTGATGGCCCAGACCCAGCGCCTGGCACATCTCAGCCATCGTGGCTGGGCCCCCCTGTGATGGAGTCTTGGGCAGCTGGGTCCTGCGCCATGGTGTTTGTGTTCTCTGGGGTGGTGGGGCTGTGAGAGGTGCCTGGAGATGTTCCAAGCCGGTGTCCTCGCTCTGTCCCTTTTCCCCAACCGACACAGCCTGTCCTGGCAGCCGGGACGAGCCCACCCCAGCAGGGCTGGGACCGAAGCACTGAAAGTTGGGGGCAGGTCTCCATCCAGCTCACCACTGTGGCTCCTGAGACTGCCAGGACCTCTCCGTCCCCACCCTGCCCATGGCCGCCAGCCAGGCACAGCAGGGAAGGGGGTCTGCAGAGGGAAGAGCTTGTCTGTTTGGGAAACGGGGGTGTGTGGAGCTGGGGAAGGTCTCACAGCCTCTTCTCTTCCTAGGACATGATGGACTACTTGAGGCAGAAGAACATCAGGCAGTTCATCCACAAGGTGAGGAGCTGCGTTTGTCAAGGGTCTGCTCCGTCCTTCCCCCCCAGCCCCTGTCCCCTCGGCTCCAGCCGTCGGTGACCGTGCCTGGCCGGGTTGCCTGCCTGCCCCCACACCCCTTCCTTGGTGCCTCCCATGGGTGCTGCTGTGCTGGCACCCACACGCCCAGGGTCGCACCCAGCTTCCTAACGCCAATCTGAGGGCCTGCCGGGCTTTGGCTGCTGGGTTCTGGGCGTGGAGAAACCGGGAGCAGCAGCCTGGGGGAACCTTCTCACTCCTGGTCTCCCACAGAACATCATCCACAGCTCGGAGCCGCTGGGGGACGAGATGGCCCATTACCTGTACGTGCTGCAGTCCGTCAGCCTCAACCTCTGCGAGCGCCGCATGAGGACTCCCATGGACCCCTACTCACAGGTCCGGGAGCGCTCTTCTTGCTCTCCCCCGTGGAAGCAGGGGCGGGTGCAGGTTCACCTTCAGGCAAACCCAGCATGTTTGATTTCATTGTTGATTTCACTGTTGGCTCTCTGGCATCCCGTCCTCTCGGCTCTCCCTCCAGGAACAGCGGGAGCTCCTCCAGTCTCTGCGCCAAACTGCCTTCGAGTCGGAGAGCGAGGTGCCTGCCAGCAGCTTCAGCACGGAGCGCCGGCGATCCCTGTGCGCCAAGGAGTTCCGCAAGCTGGGCTTCGTGGTGCGTCCCCCCTGCACCCCCTCCCCAGCCCCATGCCGGCTCTGCTGCCCTTCCGTTTCGAAAGGCAAACCCGGTGGCTGTGTCAGAAGGACTCTGCTGCTCGGAGAAGAAAGCAGCCATTGCTAAATCGCGTCCTTCCCATGTCCTCCTAGAACAACAGCAACCCAGCAGAGGACCTGCGCCGCGCCCCACCGGGGCTCCTTGCCCTCGACAACATGCTGTACTTCTCCAGGCACACCCCCAACGCCTACAGCAGGGTGCGTGCCCTCTCCCGGAGAATTCCCTGGTGGAGAGGGGCTGGTGGACCTCCACCTTCCTGTCCTTTCCTCGTGACCCGGCCTTCGCCAAACCCGAGCAAGGATGTCCCTTCAGGGCATCCTGCTGTTGCCCTGGTCCAGATGGGGCCGAGCCCTCCCTGTGGGTGGGAGCAGCCACCTGAGGCCAGCGGCACGGAAGTGTCCCCGTGATTTTTAGTGCGTTGCCCACAGCTTGCTTTCCAGGCCTTGGTCGCGTCTGAGCGAACCAGGGAACTTTGGGCAAAACCAACCGGTGGCTGCAGAGCGTTCGCCGTACTCCAGCCTGCGATCAGCTCCCGCACTGCGGCAGGGCACTCAGGCTGGTTTTTGGGGAGAGAGAATCAAATGCTACTGTTTGGGATGGCTGAACTGGGGTGAACAGCTCACCCTCCGAGCCTGCGGTCCGCCTAACACCAGGCAATGACCCTCTCCTCCAGTTTGTCCTCGAGAACAGCAGCCGGGAAGACAAACACGAGTGCCCCTTCGCTCGAAGCAGCATCCAGCTCACCCTGATCCTCTGCGAGATCCTGCACGTTGGAGAGCCGTGTATGTGTGTGCCCGGCCGGTCCTTCTCCTGCCTGCTGGCTGGCGGGCGCTGGGGACAAGCTGCCAGGGCTGTGGGCGTGGGGCCACCAGGCTCCGGCACGGCTGACAGCAAGGGAAGGGGAGGGCTGGGAAACGTCCGGGTTCTTCTGGACACTGAAATCCCCTGGAAAAACCGGGGAGTCTGGCATCATCTGTCCTTCTCACCGCAGGCTCGGAGACGGCTCAGGCCTTTTACCCTATGTTCTTCGGGCAGGATCATTTCTTTGAAGAGCTTTTCTGCATCTGCATCCAGCTGGTGAACAAGACCTGGAAGGAGATGCGTGCTACGCAGGAGGACTTTGCCAAGGTGCGAGGGGGTGCCAGGGCGGCGGGCTGTGCACAAATTGGGGGGGGCTCTGGGGAGCGTCACCCCACTGGGGGTGACGTCCGGGGCCCCGCAGGTGCTGCAGGTGGTGCGGGAGCAGATCACCAGGACCCTGGCCCTCAAGCCCACCTCTCTGGAACTATTCAAGACCAGAGTGAACGCGCTGAACTACAGCGAGATCCTGAAGCTGCGGCAGACGGAGCGGCTGCACCAGGAGGAGACGCTGGCTGTGCCCGTGCTGTGAGTGGGCT